AATACAAACAAAAGAAAAGAAGCTTGATATATATTTTCTCACATTTCATTATTAAACTGACACAAAAGCATATATACAGCCGGCAAATAAGTTGAAAACTGAATTATAACTCTAAACTAGCGGTTTCTTTCGAAAGTTAAATGCTGCGACAGTGTTGGCTAGCAACCTTTTAAGTCTGGTCCTCACTAGCACATAAGAGCAAGCATAAGAATATCCCAGTAGTGAAACATGCATTTGATATAAACATAAGCAAAAGATTATTAAAATCTTTTGTTGTTCCTGTATTTATGCGCTAGTAAAGGCCAATCTTCAGGGAGTGAGGTTATATTCAGCAAAAAAAAAAAAAAATCCTTTAGAAGAAAACACTGCTGTAGTATATGTTGTAGTGTTTGAAAATATATCCACATACCAAACTGTTAACTGAAGAGATGTTTATGGCATTATAACATTACAAGAGGTAAAAGATGTTAATACAAACAATAACACTATATCTTATATAAACTGAAACAAACATCTTTTATTTTAAAACAAACATCACACATCTTATTATGTATAAAATACTAAATTTCAACAATGTAATGGGTGCAGTAGTTTGCAGCTGTTGAACTATAAAAATCAAAAATACTCAAGTTTCAGTATTTTTATTAACCATGTCAAGTGATTGATTTTGTTTGTTTGCTTCGATAAGCGGTCGATTCTGTGGCATAGTGGACCAAAGGACTCGATTTGGCAGATAATTAAGAGAAATCGTCTCTTCACCAGGTATAGAGCGTTCTTCGAATGCTTTTAAAAACATAGAATCTCCTTCGTATAAGACACGATCCACCGTCTCGGTTGTCCATGCRGAAATATCGCCACAATTCGCACTTAACAAAGCTGAAAGACTCTAGAAATGTCGCTAAAACGACTATCACCTTGATGAATACTTCCTCTAGTGAATAAAGTGTTGCTGCTCACTTCGTTCGCAGCAAATGTGGTTTCTGAAATCTCTTCGCTTGCTTCCCACTAATTGCTTTCTACGCGCATGTTAAACTTTGCGTTAAAAATAACTGAAGTACATACGCATTATGTACGTAATACGCGACACTACATACCTTGATCCGTACAGTTCGTAGATAACGAATACGAAAGTAGTTTGGCGTTTAGTATATCGCTCGGATACTAGTCCAAAATGAATAGTTTGCCAAAAAACTCCTCATTACATCCTCTGAAGTTTTTGATTGACAGTATGACGTCATAGCATGCCGTCATAGGCTATGACTCATAGCACGACGTCATATTCAAATTACAGCCGGGGTAAATAAAAATCCCACACACTAATTTTGCACACGTGGGATCCCTGTGTTATAAAATTCGTTTTTACACAGAAAACCCAAACCTAGGAACAAGACCAGCATCGTAGCCATATATTCGTTCATCATTCATCAATTTATTCAGATCAGTTCTTACATATGTCATCTATCTACCCGCTCAACCGGTCCGTCCTTTCTGTTCGTCCATTCATATCCATTCATTTATTCACTCTGCTCATTCATTCATCTCTCCATTTTTCAGCAACAATTCGCTGTATCGCACTCCTACTTGCTTGGTTAGTTATATCACGTTCATCAACATATTAAAATTTATCATATAATTATATATGAAATACCAATATCTCTTTCGAAATATTGTTCGCAAATCATTTGAATACTTTAAATTATGTTTATTAAAGTTTATTTGAGCGTAATCATTAGCTTTATAACAAATTAAGGGAGGTAAATTTGACTAAATACCAACAACCCCAATATATAAGTTAGCGGATATATATCATTTCTATAAAGAAATTTAGGGTTGTTTATGTCAATGTTTATTCTGGATGGCTCAGAGTGTAATTTTTAACCGGACAGGAATCGAGCATTAGCAGCCGCTACATATGAGAGCTTTATGAAAAAAATCAACGAAGTGAAATATTTCCTACACAGCAAAATCTTTTGAAATCTTTAAACAGTTTTCAAGAGTTTATATTAAGTACATTACTATATAATCATCAATTCTGTTTCACTATTTTTTTAATAGTAATCTTTTATACCAATCTGCCTAATGCTTTGAAGTCTATAGCCTTCAATACAGCTGACTTACGGAAGTCGACCAGCGCTCATCGTTAATTGTCGGCAGAAGGTGGCGACGTAATGGTTAATTTAATTTTAAAACGTTTACTTATTATCACCAATGCATACTTATCAGGCCAGTCACTATTAATTTAAGGCGTGCAGTCATTACAAGGTCTTACAASGTTTATTATGATTAGCAGTAAAGATGATTTTGAAGTCGCGCAAAAAATTGAGCCAGCTCAACTGGAGACTTTGGACAGCTGCTTCAGCCTTTATTGAGCCTCATMAGCACGTTATATCTACTAAAGACTTCCTCTTGATCCCTTCATGACTTCCAAGTCCATCYTATATTCCTATGTGTCTCATTTCTTAGTTTATTAACGACACATTGATTGTAAACGCTGTATAAACACATGATTTTCTGTTTGTTTTTGTTTATTTGTTGCAATACAGCACCCCCGTTGCGATGCAGAGCGATTAGCACCCATCATCTTTCCTTTTCATACAGTCTCTTCATGAATTAAGGATAACACACTGACGTCTGGAATAAAGTCAGTTTATATTTTGAATACCCACTTGATGTGTGCTTGAAAGATGAATGCTTCCAATAGATTTCTAAAAATACTGTGAATATTTACCATCCTTATTACAATTGATTACAATTGACGCTGTTCCATGCCATGTGAAAGTAATTCAATTCTGAGCAAAATCTACACATGTGTAGCCGCCTAGGGTCAATCTACATTGGTAGATACTGAAGCGCGCGCTTTTCGTGTCACGTGATTTGGTGAAATATAAAAAGGACCATACTCAGGGCTATTGCTTTTATAACATCTCAAGGTGCACTATTCAATATGGGCCTTTGGAAGTCAACTTTTCTTGTTTTTCTTATAGTAAGTATTTCAAAATGTTAGTTTTACTTCTTCACAATACAATGGTGTAATTTAACAAAAATAATTTGTAAGGAGAAACGTCCTCAATTGAAATTTTACTCTTAATGTAAATTACCCGATACTGATAATGATGATAATAACTAGACCCTGACAGCAGGGTTGACCGTGACCAGTATGGTGGTTTGATATTGCTTGTTTGAAAAAAGACAATTTGTGTACAGGGTTTAAGACTTGAGTTTTGAAAAGTAGCTCTGTTCGCAGAGTACTACACAAAGTAAACATTTCATCACTTCATTCTTCGAGTTAGAATACTAAAGCCAATTTCCCGACGATTACACAAAGCTAGGGAGCAATTTGTCTTGGTTTCTTGACGACAAGACATTCCACACGTGTCTAAAATCTCCATGTACGTGTCCGAACGAGTTCGAAGTCGTATTACATAATAATCACCGTCTTTGGAGAGCACGAGTCT